TTTGTCCGGACACTGTTGACTTGGACATCGAGAATGCCTTTTTCACGGTGATGTCTCAATTTCTGCGCAAGCTCCCGTGCGATGCGCAGGAGCATGATACAGTTTGCTGTCTCCTGGAACAGTGCGCGCAAGGCAGAACGCAACTTATTCAGGAGTCCCTCCGTCTGTCTCTGGGCGAAGGCAAGCAAGTCCTGCTGGAGGTTGCCCATGGCAGCGTTCCTCCACTCTCTTTGAACCGCTGCAAGCTCCTTCGCGACTTGCAGGATGCTTCAACCTACCTCAAATGGGTGGCTACAGGCGTGCTGCCTGAGTTACATGATGTGTTTGTGCGTGACATCGCAAAGAAAAATCCAGAAAACTCAGTGCTTGCGCATCTCTACCAGGCGCTAGAGGACATCATCATGTGTGCCTGGGTTGAACATCTCACCGCGCTCGACCTGGCTCATTTATCTCTGCACTTTGACGGAGTGCGCCTTGTTCCTCCTTCGCACGTCAGCATCGATGACATATGCGAAGCATCGATGACACACATCGCGCAGGCAACCGGCTTCAATCTGCGCATCCGGCCAAAGAGTCATGGCTTCTTGCGTGATCTTCTTTTCAGCCAAGCAGTAACTGTGGGCGCTCTGCAGCCTGCGAGCCCATCCTACGAGGCTGTGGGCAATGGCATTCCTGCAGCGCTAGCTTTCTGTTTCCAGGATGGCGAACGTGTTCTGCGTTGGCTCAGGGAGTCAAATTCTGAAAATGTGAACGCCAAGCGTTTTGGAGTACGCTCCTACCGTGCTTGTGCCGCGCAATTGAAGCGAGCGTTGCTGGGAAGGCTGGAATACCGTCCTCCAGCGGCGGGCCGTGTCATCTTGCATACTGAGGACCGAGGCAGGGCCCATGCTATTCCCTGTGTGTACAATAATGATGGCCCATGCCAGCTGCTGCTGGGTACCCAGATCGTGGAGTTGTCCGCGGGCCACATCGCAAATGTTGTGGAGACTTGTGTGGACAGGAAGACAATGGTCTTTTTTCACTGCTTTGCGTCCCAAGATGAAATTCCGCCGGAAGGCGCAGAGGCATGTTTCGGAGACCTGCTCGACTTGCAAGCCGGGAGCTCAGAAGACGACAGCGAGGACCTGCCACTGTCCGAGAGCGAGGGAGAGTATGCCGGTTGTGGCGAGGAGGGTGAGGATGACGACGGGGCGCCTGTCACTGTCACTGTTGGGGACACGTTGCTTGCGCTGCTGAAGCAAGAAAAGGATGCCGTTGCCACGTCGTGCACCTTTCCATCGCACGGCCGCAAGTTCCGGTGCCCGCTCTGCCCCTTCAGGGCTTTTCAAAGCCCAGATCGGGTGCGGGTTCACGTCAGGACTTACCACAACGCAAAGTGCCAGCACTGCTGCAGCGGGACGAAGCAGCTTCGCTGCGCTCTTGCTCTCTTCGACCATGACCAGATTATGGGGGGGGGCCTTCGTGCTTCCTACTTGCGCAGAAGTGCTGAGCACATTCGCGCTTCTGCGGGGTTTCCTGTGAGCGAGACCCAGACTTCCGTGGACCGTCATTTGAGACTAGTGCTCTCTGGCACTGGGCCAAGGTTCGTTGGCGTGTCAGCGGTCCACGGAGACCTGCGCAGGGCGCGCAATCTCTACTATGACCACGCCTTCGCAGACATGGTTTTCCAGGAAACCCTGACGGCGGGCGCCCGAATGAAGACTGTGTCTTGGCTCGACTTGATCGGGAGTACGCAAGTTGGTTGCGAGCTTGTAGCAGTGCGTTTAACAAATGCTTAAATATGTTTGGCCATCAATTCCAGGCAGCAA